TGCGTGGAAGCGGCATGGCATCGTCTCCGCCTGAGGGACCTTAAGTATGCAATCTGATGTTACTCGTACTACTGCTGCGGGTGCCTTCAGAGCACATACCAATGCCACTGCCACGGACAGTGCCGCGGCCAGCACCACGACCGCGGCCATGGACACTGCAATCGCTGCCGCCACCACTGCCGCCACCGCCACCGCCACCGCAACCCCCACCGGCCGTGGGACTATTGTTCATTGAAACTATTGCCTCTGCCAAAGTATCTGAAAGCGCTGGTGAACTTTGATGCCCACTCAGGCACGCCTACCCGCACTTGCTCCCGCCCTCCCCGCTGCCTGGAATGCGTCCGGGACCCAGCTCGTGAGGGCAGTTCTGGGCTTGAAGGCTAAAGGCACGTTGTACACCTGGAAGCATCTGAGACTTACAGATGGCAGTAAGGGCAGGTTGGGACAATACTTCTTCCTTCTTCCTTGCTGCTTTTCAGGACTCACAGCCTAGAGTTTCCAGGAAAGGCTTCTCACATTGAAGGTTTACTCCTGGTTTGCCTCGCGTTGCGGCCCCCTTCTCACAAGTTGATGACCAGGGTGAACCTTTGAACCATGCTTGTGTTGTGCAGTTATGGAGTTGACGCGGTAAGTAGAAACATCAGAAGGTCAATAGTACCAGGCTGTCACAGCTGTTGCAATCCTCATTGCCAGTGCTATCATTTTCAACATCAGTATCGTCAGTGTCTGTCATAGTCATCCCTAAACCCCTAAACCCTTTGACCATGGTTGCCATTCTGACTTCTGCAGAAGGCTCGCCCTCGCCTGGTCATCGGGTCGTTGTGACTGGCCCGACGACTTTTGCAGGGTGGGTTCAGGCCTTAGCTAAATCCTAGCAGATCGAGTCTCCTAAAGCACTCTGGATAAGAGCGGAGCGAGGTCAGAGATACAATAGATAGAAGACATCCTGCAACGCCCTAGCTAATTGTCCTATCTTCTCCCAGCAGTAGTTTGGGGACCCTAAGGTGATGCAAGATTCTCACCAGCTAAAGCCAGCACCGCTCCAGGAATACAGTGAGATATGACCTGACAGCAGTCACCTCTTGATTGAGAATGCAGTTTTGCCTAGAACTTGGCGAACGCAAAAGTCGTGCATCTGGACTTGAATGCGAGATGGGCTTTGACACCGTCCATGAGCATATTGGAAGCTGCATCTGATACGGAATGTGGGACTGCCTTCAAACGTGAGGTGCCAGGCCAGACCTGCTGGAGCCTTGGTGTTTTTTTTTTGGTTTGCTTGTGTTTTTGCATGCATTCTGTTTTGCCCACGGCTGGTGAGGCCCGGACTTCTTTTAGGTCTTTTGTCATTAATGGAAACCCTGGCTTTCAGTTTTGAGGTGCGCCGCCACTTTGGGTTGCAGGAATACAAGGGCCAATGCCAGGCCTGGTAGATGCTTTGAACGTGTGGTGTGACTCAAGGTTAGGCCAAGCCTTTCTTCACGGGTTTACTCCCCCATGTGCATTGACTTATGGGGTTTGTACAGGAGGAGCACATGGCATAAGACTTCTGGCAGTGCAGCCGCAAGCGCATGGTTGGTTAGCTTGTGCGTTCACAATGAAAATTGGCTCAGCAGTTTCTTCTGACCTTGGATGCAAAGCTGTGGCAAGGGTGCAACATCACGTGCAGAAGAGTGTTTGTCCTCCAGTCTGCTTTGCTTGAAACATCTTTGTCGGACACTGCTGGGATGCCCGCGAGGTGCCCTGCTACTCACGGAGTAGACGAACGTTTGTGTTTCTAAAGCTTCAACATGCTTATTCACGTATTCCTTGTTACCTGCCTACAATATCGCCCGCCAAAGCATGTTCTGCAAGAACATCCCGTTTGTATTTCTCAAGATCAGTGATCTCAAGTATGCCAACGCGATCAGATGCTCAAAGAGGGATCCGCAATAAGGAGAAGGCCTCATATGAAAGTTTCTCGAACAAATCCCTACATAAGCCCTGAAGGGGACCTTCATAAGCAAACGTACTCCCTTTTTGAGGAACCCTCGCATTGACGGTAAGTCAAATAAACCCTAAGTAGTAGTTTCCATTTTATTCTCTACAATCCCTAAAATCCCTACATTACGTAACTTGACCTAAGTTCCTCAACAGCAACCCAGTAGAAAGAGGTGGCTCTGGGCCAAGCCTACCGGCCCCGCTTCCTGGCTGGAAGCTCAGCAACAGTAGAGTTTGCAACCCCAATATATACCCTATAATCCCTATGTAGCCCGTTATAGTTGTTTCCAGTTTCTTTTCCATCATCCTCATACAAGCTCAATATATGTACATTCCCCAAGAGCAGCAGCATATTCAAATACAAATGAGGATTCAGAACAAATGGAAAAACATGGGAGGTATTGGCACTGCTTTTGGGCGTGCACGGGTGGAGCGGGGGTTGGGAGATTTTTCTTGTGTCACGGCTTGCTATTTGAGGATCTGTTTTCCAACTGCGGGTTTGGGTTTGCAGAAGCCATGCTGGCCGCATCAGGAACTCAATGCTCCAGACTTTTGTGTTCTGCGTAGAAAGTCTGATGCTGTGAGTGATTCACTGACCTTTGATGGTATGTTTCGGCCATCAGAGAAAGCTCGGGAGGGGGCCTTTCGCTCTTAGCCGCCAGGGGAGAAGACTACAAGTCATGGCGCTGATGCATTTTGTACCGTACAATTCATTCTGCAAGAGTGGCTGGCAGTCTGGGTTTCCCACACAAGCAGCTAGATGTTGAGACGCCTTCTGTGCCACAGGCGGATTCATGGCACCATGTGGCAGTCCGGAAGTCGCCCCAGCTGAGTGAAGTGGGCAGGTCGTATGCATGGCAGGGATTCATAATGGAATTACACCATATTACATGCAAAATCCAAATTGAAAAGCAGCTCTTGAGACCCTGTGATCCGTGCGAGCTATATTCGGCCTTGTTTGTGCATGGGCAGTGTACCCCTGCTCCAACTTGGGGTCAGGGCACGCAACTACTGGGGGTGAGCCTTGGAGCCCGAGGCGTTCCCGCCAGCAATACCGGCACCCATGATGACGAAGGCCGGGGGTGGGGGGGACGACTTCTGATTGAGAAGGTTTATCACCTTCCGAATGCTTCCAGCCGGGCTCTTGAGTCAACAGCAAGTTTGAGGGGTGCCGGCGAGCAGCCGCGATTCACATTCTGCCACCGTTGCTTCTGGATGATGTGCAGGTCAGATCGGACGGCGCACCCATGTCCAAGGCTTCGCCTGCAAGGGTCATTTCTCTTTGAATCCGTTGTGCTAAGTGGGATCAAGCATCAGATGTTACCTTCGACCCACAGACCCAAAGCTGCCTCCACCATGTACTTTCTGAGCAGGTGCTGTCCGATGGGGTGAGCAAGGCGGGACATGGCAGAAGAAAGGAGTCTAGCCTAGCCGCCCTAGCCTTGCTTGGCCAGAAACATGGTTAACCAGGCTGCTCGAAGTAACAATACTTGGTTGATCGACTGCTTGGTCCTCCCCAAACTTTGCAGAAGCTGAATCTCCCTGCTGCTAGACATTGTCTGCTGGCGCTGTGACAAGAGCTGGCACCCCAGATGCCGTTGAAAAGGAGATTCCTATATCTTTTGTGCGCTTACATTGCATAATTCCCACCTCGATCTAGTGTTGAACAGCGTTCAGAATATGTCGTTTTGCATCATGACTGGTTTACCGCACGGCATGCAATGGCTGGCCGAAGGAGTTACAGAACATCGCAAAAAGCCTTGGACATGAGTTTTGAATCCAGACATCAGCCAAACCGGGAGACAGGTAAGGACTGAGCACGAGAAGAACATCAAAGCCGCTCATGGTAATGATTCTGATGAGAACGAAAGATGGATCGTGCAGCCAGCCTTGTCTGCCGGAAGACTGTTACGACTTTTCGCATGCCACGTTGTCAGGGGTCCTTCTGGCGGGCAATCCCGTCTACTTGCGTTTCATGCTGCAGCGGTTCTTGCTTTTCTTAAGGTTCCTTCGGATGCCATGTCGAAGGCTAGCTGCTCATTTTGCTCTTGCTGCTGAAGGGTGGGCGCAGGATTGAGGATTGGGATGCTGCATGCGCTCTGGGGTTGTGATGTATACCAAGGCACCAAGACAGGACGTGGCAGTCCGGTTGAGATAAGTCGAGATTCAGCTGGGTTTAGACCGTCGTGAGAC